GTCCTTCACCCTGATTTCTACCTAACCTCTTCGTTGATTCCGTAAAATGTTGTCCTTCTGTGTAGCATTGCTCCAAAGAAACTACAGACTTTTCCAGGGGCCGCAAGCTGGTTTTACGTTTTGCTTCTTTGAACTTTGAATCACTAGGCGTTGACCCTAGTTTGGGGCTACAATCCCCTGATGTTCACAACTTTACGGCACATTTTGCTGGGTAGGCACCTCAGTTCTGGGATATGTCATCCTAGTCGTACACACATACGGTTGTTACCGATTAGAGATTTGGCCAGACTTTCGATTCAGATGTCAACTCACGGGGTCACTTCTTAGACTTGAATGTAGCTAACGGAGTGTCACAGTCGATCGTACCCATCAGTTTGGGCATACGATGCGTTCGGTTGGCCTATAAGGGAGGGTCGTGCCAGGTATATTTGTGCACCAGGATAAATCTATTCAAACAGCCATGTCTGCGGTTATAGACGACTTGAAGATTGACCTGCATCCATAGAATAACTTCATCCTTAATAATTAAAACTTACCAATCGTGTGAGTGCCTTGTGGGTCTTCCTTATAAGAGATGCGAAAGGGAAGACAAGGTAGTGTTATGTTTATGACAGGTAGGTGAATAGAGTAGTTGTGACACGCCCCTTGCTTCTGTCTCCTAAATCCCTCTTTTTTTGAAACATGTTGCATAAAATAACTTAGGTTTGTGTAAGTCTTGCGAGTACAACTAAGTACTCACCTTACTTAATTTACTATTTTTTTCCTAGATTGCCATCAATCCAACTTGCAGCAGTTCAAGAAGCAGGCTTGTTGATGGACGACATTAGTTGGTTATCCCGCGAACAATGGTCTAGACAGAGATATGGACGCCTTTTACTTTTCTTTAAGCCTTCTTAAGGCATTTTGTATTCTTACCGGTAGAAGGTATATTCTCTTCCGTTGTATGAGTTGTATGTGGGTCAACATACCCGTTATATTCATTGGTTAAATCTGACTCATGGAGTTGTTGTATGTATTTATTTGTTGTTGTGGATTATTTCGTTATGTGTGTTATGATATTGACACTCCCCCACACAGCGTGCATGCTTCAACGTGTTCGTTGTGTGAAGATGACGCCTTACGATCAATATTATGTGAAGGTTAGTGTTCGTTGTGTGAAGATGACGCCTTATGATCAATATTATGTGAAGGTTAGCTGAGGATGCTAGATCTACATAGCACCGATCCCGGGGTGCTACACTAAGCATGCTCCACAGGTAACGCAACCAACCTACTCGTCTCATAGCCATTTTGATAGCTCATCTATTTGTTCAATAATCGAATCTATGCTCAACTCACCACGGCAAAAAAAAACACTATTCTCAACTCATTGACACCAATCTAGGCAAGAAATACATGCCTGATATAAACTTTGACTTGATCATTTCACGCGAGCATGATGATTAAGATTATCGTCTCAATCACCTTTGCTGATAAAATCTTTCATTCTTTTTGAAGAAAAAAGAAAGCCATTACAATGAGTCCAAAGTTTATCCGTAATGTCCAGCCCCAAATCTGAATACATAATGCCCAAAAAAAACGGAATACATGTAATTTAGAGGTCTGGTTTTGCATCGTTAATATGGAAAGGTCCCATACGAAAATGAGGAAACATAAAACCTCGGAGAATTATTCAACTTACAACAATAAATCAGATCTACCAGTAATAAAACCTTTAACACAACTAGGACGAATTCAAACTAGTAATGAATCTTGACTAATTTAATGCTTTTAAAATCCAGTTTTAACCATAAAGACTAACTATCCCAGCTTTAAGAAATATGCTCACCAAAAGAAAATGAACTTATGTATAAAACTCGGAAATACCAAGGAAATACCGGTGGATCCATAGATTAACAGTGACCATGGGAACCTATGCGATTCAGGGAACAAACATTTTGGTGTTAGATGAACAAAGCCAACATTTAAAAAATGTATCCATTGTCTAACTGATAAGATAGGTGATTCCTCTTAAGGCAGTCTTTCAAGAGGACAGTCTGTTATGCTTCCCTGAAAATAAGTAATATTAGTATTAACTCTTCATTGCTTTGCTGCATATAGCGTCGCACTTCTGTTTCCAGGAGCTAAGTGCTTCAACCGTGTAAGATCGATACTGCAATACTGGATGTACTGTCAAATTAAATGCCTATAAAACAGGGATGCCATGTACTCCTACTTGAGGGTGACGAGTATTAAGCTTGGGAATCTCTAGTACAGAACCCTCCATGAGTCAGGTGAGCCGACAAAGAGTTTGACTACCGCAAAGTATTCTTCTAGTAAAAAAAATGGCTAAATTATAGAATCATTATTTCTTATTTATTGGATATAACTGGTTCTGAAATTACAAATGTGGACACCTCGGTGGACTCTCAAAAGGGGGTGTGACCTCCCTCCCTCCCTCCCCTGGCCGCTCCTGCGAGCGCCGCCGGGGGGCGAAACCCTAGCGTGCGGGCTCGCCCGTCCTCCTTGCTCCTCCCTCCCCTCGCCGCCGCCCCGGCGTGCTGGCGGGCAAAGCCCGGCCAGCTCGGGCGGCGGCGGGGCCTCTTCCTCGCCCCGCGCGGCGCTGGATGGCGCGGGCCATCTGGGCGGCGGCGCGGCGCGGCGCGAGCTCAGGGCGCGGCGGCGCGGCGGCGGCGGCTGG